CCGACCCACTCCTCCTCATCCTCCTCACCCACAGGATAGTATGTATGGTGTCGAGGGCAGGCGGAAGGGAAAGGGGGCAGGAGAGAGCAGCAAGGAGAGGAGGAGGCGGAGGAGGGCGGAGCGGGAGGAGTAAGAGGAGGACGAGAACGAGGATGAGAGGAGGGAGAGGGACGGAGAGGAATGGAGAAAGGGAGGAAGGAAGGAAGACAGAGAGAGAGAGAGAGAAACAAAACCTGGCGAAAAAAAAACAAACAAAAAAAACAAAAACAACAAAAAAAAATGCAATTGTGGGTGCCGCAATTCTAAAGATCGTCTTCGATGGAGCTCCTTATGGGGCCACGAACGGTGTGAGGGGTGCGCCGAAATGAGAACGCTGCGCTGCTCTACCGACTCGCGTGCGCCATCCGTGCGCTGAGGAATCCGCGCCGTTCGATTGAAACGTCTGCGCTGTACTTGCGATTGGGCCGTGAGCTGCTATTGCGATTGGGCAAGCGTTCGGTGGAACCCCCTTTAAGGGGCCACGAACCGTGTGAGTGGTGAACTGAAATGGGCGGGGGGGCGCATGCAAACCCTGCCACTGGGGCCTTCGGCGGAGCTCCCTATGGGGCCACGAAGCGTGTGAGGGGTGTGCCGAATTGGGCGGGGGGACGCATGCGAACCCTACCGCTGGGGCCATCGGCGGAGCTCCCTATGGGGCCACGAACCGTGTGAGTGGTGCCGAAATGGGCGGGGGGACGCATGCGAACCCTGCCGTTGGGGCCGTCGGTGGAGCTCCTTGTAAAGCCACGAAGCGTGTGAGAGGTGTGCCGAAATGGGCGGGGGGAACCCTGCCGTTGGGGCCGTCGGTGGAGCTCCCTGTGGGGCCACGAAGCGTGTGAGCGGTGTGCCGAAATGGACGGGGGGACGCATGCGAACCCTGCCACTGGGGCCATCGGTGGAGCCCCCTATGGGGCCACGAAGCGTGTGAGGGGTGTGCCGAAATGGGCGGGGGGGCGCATGCGAACCCTGCCACTGGGGCATTCGGTGGAGCTCCTTGTGGGGCCACGAACAATGTGATGGGAGTGCCGGAATGGGCGGGGGACGCATGCGAACCCTGCCACTGGGGCCTGCGGTGGAGCCCCTTGTGGGGCCACGAAGCGTGTGAGGGGTGTGCTGAAATGGGCGGGGGGGCGCATACGAACCCTGCCGCTGGGCCCTTCGGTGGAGCTCCTCGTGGGGCCACGAAGCGTGTGAGAGGTGTGCCGAAATGGGCGGGGGACGCATGCGAACCCTGCCACTGGGGCCGTCGGTGGAGCTCCCTATGGGGCCACGGACCATGTGAGGGGTGCGCCGGATTGTGCGGGGGACGCATGCGAACCCTGCCACTGGGACCTTCGACGGAGCTCCCTATGGGGCCACGAAACGCTGTCTTGGGGGGTGAAACGCAGGGAGGTGACGAGGCGGATGGGAGGGAGGGGGA